GGGTCGGCCTCTTCTCCCAATTAACAAGCGATACGACGAGAGGAAATGGCTTCAAGATGCTCCAGGAGAGGTTTAGATTGGGTATTAGGAACAATTTCTTCACCGAAAGGGTTGTCAAGCATTGGAACAGGCTGCCCAGGGAAGTGATTGAGTCCCCATCTCTGGAGGCATTTAAAAGCCGTGTAGATGTGGTGCTTAGGGACATGGTTTAGCGGTGGGCTTGGCTGTGCTACGTTTAAGGTTGAACAACATGAACTTAAAAGTCCTTTTCCAATGATCTTAAAGGTCCTTTCCAACCTAAATAATTCTATGAAATTTTATCAGACCTTGATCACAACTCTGCTACTTACCCTTCCTGGAATCACCAGATTGTCTATGCCTATCAAGTCTTTCTTGAGTTCATGCAACCTCTGGAAGTTCTCCATCTTTATCATATTGCCATGGAGCTGAGCCACCATTTCAGAAATCTCAGCCAAAGCAGCTAGATGGACAAAACCATAATATGTTTATTAAAAACTTACAAGAACATTTAAAAAGAAAGAGGGCTTTTGCCCGCAGCACCCAGCTCATGAACATCACCCTTCTTGTGTTACCCTTCTCCTTCACAGTGTAAAGCTACTCAGGCAGATGAAAAAATACACAAATTCTGGACATCATCTTATGGAGTAGAGGGGAGAGGGTGGAGTGTTGTAGTGAAGAGACAGTCTATTTCCGCAACCAAAAGTTTGCTCTATTTTAGCCACAGGAACTTTGTAGGAATACTCAAGTCAATTCACAGCACCAATGAACGCGTTCTCCTAAAGGACTTAATTTCCTACGTCTCCAATTAATCCAGGGATCTTCTCTATACTTGGGAGAAAAAAAAAAAAAAGCATTTGTCCCCCTGCCTGCAGCACACCAGGTCAGGTCCATGTCTGAAAACACCAGGAAATGGCAGCGTCATTTATCGTATCATTTCAGATGGTAAACACAGTGATCTTGGGGTTTGTCCTCAGTCCCAGCAACGAGAACAACTAAAAGGGCTGCATGTCGCTGAGTTGCATCATGACTCTATGTTGTTCTCTCCAAAGACACTACCAACAACAAGCAACCTAACACCCGGGAGTGATTTTCCCAAGGAAAAATCTCCATTGTCAAAAGGGATTTTTGCTGTGTGAAGAAGGATCGGGGGGATACAGGAGGAAGCAGGCACTATGAAGTCCCACTCTACTGCAGCAGAAGCCAAATCAAGTGCAGGCTGCTGCCGATCTGTGTTTGGTCTTTTTGTTGTGCCAACAACGCTGTAAGTCAACTCAGAGAACTATGCTGAAAATCCCTTCATCACTTGAGCTTTTCTGGGGACCAGCTCATGGAGTGGCTCCCTGTGCCATCGTGTGTGTGAGCACCGACCTTGACAGGCCTGAACGGACGGGCGGTCTCTGGATGGGCCCCATGCACTGACTGACTGCAGTGCGAGAAGAGCAGTTACAGCCATTGGTGTTAAAAAAATACAGTCAAAGGAACAATAACAGTGGTTGTTTCTTCCTTCTTACATCATTGCCCAGTGCACAGTTCATCCACCTGGTAGTGGGAGAGCTGTGCGCTCTGCTGGGATTCATCCACATCTCCCTTTTTTTTTTTTTTGCTTCCTTTACACTCTGACCTTTAACAAAAATCTGCAAACACGTTAGTAAGACAGCGATCCCAAAGCGATGGTGTCTCCAAGTCGCACCATCCTTCCCATGCTCACTTATTTTCACCCCCGACTCCTGTATCTGTATCCATTTCAAAAGCGGAGCAGGAATCAAACCTTGACGGTTCCCCTCTCTCCACGGTGGTGGGAACGGACACGTCATCCTCATCACCTCGCCTTGGCTAAAAGAAACGAAGGCACTACTCGCTGCCTTCCTGAGATAATTCAGGCAGTAGCTACGTTTCGGTAAAACGTCTGTGTCATGCAGCACTTGAGTGCCACAGACCTCTGTGACATTTCCTCTTACTACAGGGCAAGTCCCCTCCGCGCTTTGTGCCTGGTTTCATCACACGGCACCGAAGGGAACTTTTAGCCAGTCAACTTGGCTAACGCCTTCCAGCTGGGAGCAGCCATGTCGAGCACTGCTCCCTGCCCAAGTCCTTCTGCTGGATCTCCACCGAGTGCTAACTGTAGAGACAACATAAGTTATCCTTAAACGTAGACAGCTTACACCAGGGGCGGGGAGGGGGATAAGAAAGGAGGAAGACAAATCATCCAGAAAGAAATAGCAGGCAGTGAGTTCAGATTACAGGAGGAAAATTTCATCACGTTTGGAAAAAACCCATGTTGGCAGTTTTGCATTCCTGAAACAAATCACGGGAATGATAGGAGAGCAAAGTATATGTTTGGAAAAAAAGGTAAACAACATTTAAAGACATAATAACATCAACCATACTGGGCGAGACCAAGGGTTCACCTGGGCCAATATTCTGTGTTCCTAGCGGATCTCTAGGGAAAGTTAGGACCAAGACAAGCACATATGGTATGTTCCCTATGCTCTCTCCCAACCTCCCAACTGTTTTCAGTTCAAGCGATTTCCTGAACTACATGTCATTTCTGTGTGTTTAATAACCCCCGAAGACTTCTCTTCCAAGTACTTGCCCAGACTGTGGCACAATGTGGACACAAGAGCAACCTTAATCCTACCACTTCTGATCTTCCAAGAGCTGGATTTTGCAACTCGATCCTCTTTCAATGTACGCTTTAAAAAAAAATTTACTTTTTTTTTTTTTTTTTTTTTTTGCACAGGCATGCACCTCTAATGGATTTGGATGCCATTCCCCAGCTCCAGGAATTGGTGTTATTTACTCACCTCTTGAATCCCTGAAGTCTATATGGCTTGGTGGGTAGGGTTTGCAAAGCCTCTCCATTATCTGCTTGTAGTGCATAAGCCTGTGTAAAGGTCTGAGTAGGAAGGTATTGAGGGGCAGGTAGCAAACTTTCTGGAGCTCAAAATCTCTGCAAAAGGTCTCCAGCTTGCGAGAGTTCTTGATCCCATTCTCCAACTCCATTAAAATCTCGTCGTGCTTCCACAAGTGAATTGTCAGTTGCTGAGATGCACAAAGAAAAGAGAGCATGTGGTAGAGCTCTTAGCAATCACTGTGAGCTAGGACTCAGCCCAAACCTATTCCAATAAAAAAAAATCCAACTAGCACAGCAGTCGGGATTTCACAAACAAAAATCACCGTACAACACGCTGCCTTTGATATTCACTTGAAAAGGAGAAACAGCATTACGTGTGTTTGAAGTACACACCCCCATCCCCTCTGCATTCCCTGTAAAACAAAAGTATACGAGTCAACAAAACTAAGTCTCCTATCAGCGAGAAATCCAAAGGCAAGGAGATGACATGAACATAGCTCATGCAAGTAGGCGCAAGAGGGAGAGCGCCCAACCATGCGAATGCAGAGCTAGGAAACAAAATGGGATTTTCCAGGAGCATGAAGGGGTTTGGTTGCCCCAGTTCCCTTAGGTGCTTTTGGGGAACTGGGATGCAGGCAATGAACTTCTAGCTTCTGCTCCCCTGTTAATAATGAGAAGTTGCATCTCTGGGGAATCCGAACAAATGCAAAAGCAGAGGTGTTGTCTGACAGAAATGAGTGTGTTGGAGTTCTTCACCCTTCGATTACATCCTCTTCTCCTTAGCGCAGTCTCTAAGATGATCCCACTTGCAGCAGAGGAGTTATGCGCCAGCAAGTGAATGAGGTTTGCATGAAATACGTAACCTCATTGAGGTCTCAGCATGACAGACGTTCATGAGTCCCATTTAAAACAATTCCGCAGTATTTTTTTGAACAATCAACACGGGGGCTTCACTTGTGTTTTGCAAAAAGTAAACTGGTTCTTCAGGATGCACAGAGCTTCCCTGAGCAACCAAATAAAGTCTCCCAGTACCTGGTAGACTACTAACCAGCAACAAAAAGAAATAGAACGCGTATGTTGAACGGACTTGAGAAGAAAGCTTGGCTTAATCTAAAGCTTGTGCTTTTTGACACATTTCCAATCATCAACTCCCTCTCTCCTGTGATTTGTGACATCTTTACCAGAAACATACCTTCCCTACAGCCCAGCCGCTTCCTCCGTAGACGGCACGTTCATTTTACAAGCCTGTAACTCAGGCAAAGATGCAGCAGCCCCTCTGGCCTACTACAGAGGCTGCCCAGTAATTACTTGCTCTTAACTTCTTTCCTATGTTAATTAAACAAGCAGTGTCACTTTTCAGGTCTTTTAACAGGTCTCATGATAGATGTGTAGAGTTTTAACTAACGTCCTTGTCTCCTGTGCAGTTCTTTAAGTCAAATTGGATTTGGCCTCTTTCCTCCGCTTATCTGTGCTTATCAGTGGTGGCGGATCTTCAAGCAAATGAAGAAAATCCTCTAACAGGAAAGGGAGAATGGCAAAGGTGAAAGCATGCTGACAGGTCTAAGTTACAGCCAGGACTGTACCCTGCCTTTAGACTAGTGCCACAGAAGGACCTGCAGACAGCGAAGGACAGATAATTTAATGTTGCAAGGTACCAAGAGCAGAAGCAGACTCTGTTCAGAAGCTCTCTGGGATTTCAAAACCTGTTTGTGAAAAGGTGTGTACTTCTTGAGAGCAGGGATGGAGGTAGAAAAGTCCCCTCTGCGTTTCTTCCGATGCACCTGAATCGTGTCTTGAGGGGAAAAAGCAGTTCCTGCTAAGCGCACTGCAGAAGGGGTAGGGCTGCCTTACTGACGATGAAGCTGTCTGCGTTGGGGACTGTAAATCAACATTTCTACATTCCCTTTCTCCGATTTGCTGTATAATCACTTGCACGTCACTTAATTTCTCTGCATCACTCTCTGTCCTTCTGAAAGATAAGCCTAGTACGAACATGTCAGGAGAGCCGCAAAGATTAAACTGCCCTTTCCTCCAGCCAAGGACTCCAGGCTGCTCCATTCACCAACTGCAGGATGCCGAAGTGGCAGTCACCAAGGGAAGAGTTACCGATCGTTTCGAAAGCACTTTGAGATCCACATGCCGAAGATGCAGTGCCATGTTTTGCCACACACTGACCTGGATGCACAGCTACGTTATAAGCAGGTGAGCTGTGTGTTATCCATCCATACTGTAAAAGTCCACAGGGTTTTCACAGGCTCCCGTGCCTGCCTTCCACGTTGTTTGTTCAGTAACACAGAGCATCAAAAATATTACTCCGACCAGACTAAGAACAGATGCAAAGTCTGCTGAACGTTACACCTACATTTATAGTTCATACATGTATTTTTGCTTTTAGCTTTAAAGGGATCGAAGGAAATTATTTGCATTTATTCAAAAACCTTTCATCTAACTTGGCACCGCAGTTGACAAATAGAAGTTTCCCAAATCAAATCAGTACCCAGGTTACGGTCACTAGTCCTGCAATATCTTAACACTTACGTTTGCACGAACAAGTAGGCACACTCAGCGTTTGAAGAGTCTCTTCAGCCACAGAAATTCCAACATTTTGCCTTCTTATTTGAAAGAAAGAAGAACTGGAAACGAAATATTCCTGAACTTTTGTGTTTGTTGTTGCTATATGTGGAGACTGGACTGAGGAAAGGGGCTGGACAATTTAAAATCAGCTTGCAATTCTGAAATCTCAGGGCTCACCAAACACTTGCTACTTCATCAAAGGAAACTTTTACGGCATAAACCTCGATTACAATTGGCAAAAACCAGCACAAGCGGCAACGTCATATGAAAATGAAAAGCACGCTAATGTTAATCCATGTCAAAGCTTAATAGTTATGGGATCGTTCCTACCTTCATACTCTGAATGTTCTTTAGCATAACATCTCCGATTCTTTGGTAATCTCCCTTAATGTGAGCATTAGAGCGTCCTTCCCTGTCAGCAACAGAAATACCACACACACTTCAGTCATGCAATAAAACCTCATAATCACTTAGAAGCACAGAAAGGAACTCGACAGCTCATTTCTTTTAAAATCCTGACCCTCGTGCTCCTTCACTTGGGAGCATGTGAGGAATCTTCCCGGCAGGCCTGTAATTCCCAGGTACAGTGCACCTTTCATCCAGCCTGGCTTGCACTCCTAACAACAGAGAGGGCAGGCACTGAACAGAAGGATTAGACTTTTAAAGAAAATCCCTAGTGTTTTTAAACACAGCAGAGAAGGTTGGAAATGGCTTGAGAAAAAGGGAAGATATCAAAATCCCATGACAATGTGTCGGCTTAGAGCAGAAGGATAATTCTGTTCAGAAACAAGGACTGCACCCCAGAACAGGACCCGCAGGTGTTCCTCCTCTGAAAAAGCTCTCTGCTTGTGCAAGACACAGTGGGACAAAAAAAAAAGATAAAAAAAAATCATCCATCCAGCATCTGGGTTTGACTCATAAGTGTTATATACTGGCAGGAATTTTCTTTCCCTGTGTCACTTTTGGTATTAAAAATGCAAACTGCTCCCTCCCACCCAGCCAGCTGCACTTGGGCGAGTGCTCCATTTGGAAGAAACCCAGCTCCTGATGAAAAAGATACTCCTGCTTCTAAACCCATGTGTGAGACAGGCGACTGAATCTGAACACATCTTTTAGAAAATGGGAGGAAAAATCATGAATATAAGAACCTAACTGTTAGAGGTACGTTCCAACCAAGTTGGGTTTTCAAAAGAAACGCACTAGGGGAATGTGGGGAGAAGCACTGTCCCCCTCCTCTTTCCAGCTTCTAATACTGCATCCAAGTTTCCCGTGGTGTGGCTTTTTAAGCGCTGTCCTCAAGTTTTAAAATTCAGTTCAACTCCCACATCTGAGTATTGGGAGACAGATCCAGTCCTGGTGTGGGCATCTGCAATTCAGGCAAAGAAAGGCACTACCTTGGAGGAGGACAGAAATATCATCAAGCTCTAAATGAAGAGGACCTCTCTTTTGTGGTTTTCACCCACTTGCAGTAGTCGATGCTTTTAAAAAATATTCTGTGTGCAGTGAAGGAATAAGTGGACAACGAGGTGGTAAATCTCTGCATTCCTTAGTACCGGCAATTTAGCCAGAGAGGTCCCACACTCACCAAATCGTAGAGGACGCAGCTATTGTTAGGAATATACTTTCACTAGTAAGACACATGGAATTTTTTATTTTTTTTTTAAAAAATCCCTATTATTACGTGAATAGATGCATATTCAGACATATATTTTGTTTTGTAAACTTAAACATGATTATGTTTATGCTGGATAATCTCCCTGCAAACTTTTCTAACTGGGAAATGTGGAGGGCACAGCTTATGAATCCTACACAGCAACATCTCCTATTTTATCCTTCAACAGACAAAGAGACTCAGCTGATAAACAAGGGATTGCTCCACGTTCATTTGAACAATATCCAGTTTCATAGGCTGTCTTTAATTATTTACTATTGTGTTAAATATCCCAGGCACTCACATGCCTGGAAAAATACCGTTCCCAACAAGAGTATTTATGTTTTTTCTGAACCCAAAGGTTACACCAGGGTAGGAAGTTGGGTCGTGTCAACAGTAACTTTAATTAGCATCGCCAGTTTTGCGAAAGCACTACATTATAGAAACACTGCCATAGTCAAAACACACCCAAGAAATGGTCTGTATTGCAAGGAGCCGCAGAGGTACGTACGGACACTACAAGACCACAGTCTCCACATTACTTGAGGATAAAAGTCCAATTTTTCTCTCCAGGAAGCCTCTGCCAGCCAAGTCATCTCCCCCCTACGCTGTTCCCTGCCTTTCCCTTCCCCCATGTCCTATCCATCCTACCAAGGTTTCCTCTGAGAGGCTGTAAATAAAACCTTCCAGCCACTAAAGCTCTGCTCAAAGTGGTGGATATCAAAGTGCCCCCAACTGAAAACCACAACCATTTGAAGCTCAAGGCAGTAGCAAGGGAAAGTCGTCCTCCATCCGTACAGCCAGCAGGCAGAGTCCCAGCCCAAACGCTTCACGCGGCACTGCTACGCACAATCCCAGAAATGTCAAAGCCAGATGAATTTGTGCTGCTGCCAGTAATGACATGGTATTCGGTAATTATCTCTAGAGGAATTCTTGCTTTATGTGTTATTCTCTAACTCTCCGGCACTGCCTGGATCCTTTTTTATCTCTCTACATTTGATTTCATCTAAGAGATTTCAGCAGTTTGGTACCTTTCTGATTTACTGCCAAGATAAATATTAAGTACATCATTCAGATTGCTATTTCTAAATAGAAATTGCTTTTCTAATCTCAAGGCTACAATACAGGTTGGCTAAAATACTCATTGCAAATTTCTTTTCTATTAGCTAGCTACTCAAAGGCTGACCCCAAGCCTACTGAAGTTATACTGAGTGCTTCCACTGACTTTGCGAACTTGGGCTAATATTTAGTGCAGTTGTTCATCGAACAGTCAGGTCTTTATTTCCTAAAAGTTGACCCCCTGGCCCCTCTTTGGCACAGCCAGCACTGCCTGCTTGCACAGCATCTCGTCACATCAGTCACACGCAAAGCATCAGGAACATTCCCCTTCATTGCCTTTGGCCACAGACTGGTCCAAGGCTTTTTTTTTTTTCTTTTTTTTTTTAAGAATTTGAGGGCTTTCAGTCTTACTCTGCATCTTGGCAGAGTGACAAAGAGGGATAGAAGGGGGGTTCCCAAAAGCAACAGCCTCTCTCCAGCTGCTGGTTAAACAGTGAAGAGCTGAATGGTACCAGAGCCGTCAGCCCAGGCCAACAGAGATAACCTGTGCTGCAGGCAGATGCATACTGCTGGAAGAAATAAAACCCTAAGAAAAGCCAGAAATGTGATGGCTGGCTATTGCTTCTCGTTTCAGCCGTTCTCCTTGCTTTTTTTATATATTTCCACGCAAATGCTGTCTCTTGCAACAGGGCTGATTTTCCCACTGGGCCTGGTGCATCCGCACGTAGGCTGTGATGTGGAGCAGAGGGGCAGGGAAAGCTGAAGCCAAGCCTGGGGGAACACGATGGTTTGACTCCTGTCTCCTAAATCCCATCCTCTGCTCCCGTCCAGCTTTCCGCCGGGACTCCACAGTAACCCCTGTGCTGCTCTGCCCTCTCCCCCAGCTCAACATGCAAATCCCAAGTCACCAAGAAGAAAAGAAACCCCAAGAAAAGAGCATCCAAATACGCAGAGTATTAAAATAAAAACCAAACACCCGACCCATCAAGACGGTGTCTTCCCAAACCACAGCAGCAGAGAAGGGAGGTCTCCCTGCACTGTATGTTTTGAATAACAACACTCAGCTTGCTGGGGGAAAGAAGCTGCTCATTCGTTGCGCATCAACGGCGAAATTGTTCTTCTTGCTCCTTGTTTTCATGGGTCACTGTTTGAACATGGTATCCATCTGCCAGTGACAAGGGACGGAGCTTAGAGACCAGGTTCTTACAAATTTTCATCAGGAGCTGATTTATGGCCCGCAGCTCCATAGAAGATGTAGGAGCTGCTTTTCCCACACATAACATGCCCTCACTCCACTGGCTGTGTGAGGAGCTCTAAAGCCACTGAAAATCATGCTGAATAGTGGAGACATTATTCTATAATAAGCTCTTTTCTCATTTTTCTCCAAATAGTCCCTTCCTTTTTACAGTAATGCAAGTGTACAATTGCAAGCAAAGAGGAGACGGACTTTCACACCTGGTAAGAAACTGAGACCCTACCTAACATATTACTAAGAACGGCCACCAGTGTGACTTACAGGGACTACGCAAGCAGCTACGTTGGATTTTCGAATGACATAAACTTCTCAGTGTACACCATTGAAAAATGAACGGAAAGAAATCTCCAAGTCAGCCCATACTAGCCTCGATCATCCACAAACGGTAGTAGAAGGAACAGAAATTTGATGGGGATGGTGGGAAGGCAAAGAAGGAGAGACAGATATCTCAACAGAGGGTTGTTTTTTTCCCCAGGTGAACATAAAAAACTTTGATTGCAGCACAAAAAAATAAAAATCAATTGCAGCAAATGATATTTACAGTGTGTGACCTTCCGTTACACGCTCGGGACAAGCATCTTTCTCCTGGATACCATAGTTTGTCTTTCAACACTTACACACTTTTGATTTTTTAAGAGTGTAATTAACTAAAGTTCTAATATTAAGAAATATTAATACACTAAACATTCCCCATTACAATTGCCTTTTAAATAAAAGGAACATTTTGTAACTGGAAAAGAAGAGTCGATAAAAGCAAAACACCCTTTTCCTTGCTCACACCCTGCTATTACACAGAGCTTCTTACTGCCCTGCCCGCTCCAGCCGACGCTGCGGCTGCCCTTTCAGCAGTTAAGCGGTGTACAAAACGCGGCTCAGAGCCTAATAAACGTACTGCTGAAGCCACCAGAGCTTCCCAGAGTCCCACCGAGCCTTCGAGGAGGGTACACACATTTAAAGACTTTGGGCTGGCTATCCCTGTTGTGGGAGAAACGCAACCTACAGCAAGCGTGCGTCAGTAATGCTTTTAAACGGGAAGAGATCAGAGCAAGTAATGCCATGGCATGGAAATACACTGAAAACTCAACGCCATTTCATACCTTGCCATGGCACGTCCTCAAGAGGCAACCCTGGGCACATCCCACCAGAGAGCCGCAGAGATGAACGTAACACGGCTCTGGGTGTGACTACTGGATCCTGGACAAGGTATTTCTCTCCCACGATTTCATATCCATTTGGGTGTAGCACGGCTCTCATCCCCAAAAGTACTCAAAAGGGACCTCAGCAATGCAAACTGTCCTCTCAGAAGCGAGCCCAACGTGCTGGCATCAAGCCCCTTTTAATGTCTTTGTCTCAGGAACACACACTGTATAACTCTGAGGTTTGTCAATACAATTCCTACCGTACATACCTCATTTCTGTTACGCAGGACAAAGACACTTTCG